TCTCCCCCTCCCTCCCAGGCTTGGGAGCCTGGGAGGGAGGGGGAGACCCCGAGCTGCCGCGGTGCGCGAAACAGCTGATTCACGTGCCGCTGCTGCCCCTCCCTCCCAGGCTTGAGAGCCTGGGAGGGAGGGCAAGTAGCGGCGCACGAATCAGCGGTTTCACGCGCCATGACAGCAGCAGCGGAGGTGAGCTAGGGCGGCCGGGGCACATTTTTAGGGGCGGCATTCTGGCGCCGGCCATGCCGCCCCTAAAAATGTGCCGCCCCAAGCACCAGCTTGTTTTGCTGGTGCCTAGAGCCAGCCCTGAAGGCAACAATGATAAGAGAAAGAGAGAGAAAAACAATCTGCTAACTTTGGGACCAAATTCTCTGCCGGCATTATAACACTGACCTCAATGGGGCTATGCCATCTGGGGATTTGGCCCTTGGAAAATAAAGGACAGAATAAATAGTGGACAAATTGCAACCTATGGGCCAAGTACCGCTGATAAAGTTCTGCAAGGTGGCATGTGGCTGGCCACATTTTTTACAATGCAGGTGCAGCCAATGAAGAGAAGTCCCAGCATGCAGCTAACAATATTGATCAGAGTTAGACCTTATTTTAACATACTGCTGTACAAACCTCACTTGGACAAATTTCATTGGCAGAATACCACACTACAACACACACTCTTATGATCACTTTCATTGGCATTTGGATAAATAGCTCCTACATTACATATTGTTTTATTGTTCAGACATTTAAATTGGCAGCTTGTCTTGTGTTAGTGAATGGAAGAGTAGGACACAGGGATGCAAATTTAGGATTAGGATAGTCCAGGAAGAAATACCAGGGAGTAATGGAAGGAGGTTCAGCAAAGGACAGTTTTGGATGAACATCAGGAAATGGTTCTCAACTGGGAGACCCATTCAACTTGGATACTATCCCAAGGGAAGAGCTTAGTTAGGGTGACCAGACAGCAAGTGTGAAAAATCAGGACAGGGGATGGGGGTAATAGGTACCTATATAAGAAAAAGCTCCAAATATTGGGACTGTCCCTACAAAATCGGGACATTTGGTCACCCTAGAAGAGCTAGAAATTCCCGTTCTTTAGATTCTGGACAAAACACTGGGAATTCACTACAGAAGACAATTGTGCACTGGTCTCTTTGGTTAAGGAACAGAGGATCCAATAGGTCTTTTCCAACTCTAATTTTGGTGATTCTAAGATATTCACAAACAACATTTCTATAGCTGTCCCCTGTGTGAATATCTAATGCTGTCAATCACAAATATCATTAAGCTATTCAAACCCCTCCTCCTGTATAACCAAAGAGGACATTCATTCTTCACTTGGCAAATAGCTTTCTTGCCACAGAAATCAATATTATAACCCCAGAAGTTCTTTCAGCATGACAGATGAAGAATCTTACTCACTCTGTTACTTCATTTGGATTATCTAGAAAAAAAGAAAAAGAAATGTGAATATTTTGTAGTTTCATTCTTCCTACTGGAAATCAGATTTTTATTTTTAAAGTCTTATCATTTAAAGATGTAATGATAATTGGCACTTACATAGCACAGTATGTTTTCATAACACAGTACAATCATAAATTAGTGCATCCATTCCAGGACCCTGTTAGGTAAGTATTGTTATTCCCATTTTACCCATGGTAAAGCCAAGGCATAGAGTGGTTAAGAGACTTGACAAAACTGGGACTAGAAACAGCTTTGTGTTCAGTCCATTACATCTTGCTGCCCCTCCCTGGATGATGGTTCTACATAAAAACAGCCATGAAGGGTCAGACCAATGGTCCATTCTAGCCCAACATCCTGTCTTCCAACAATGGCCAATGCCAGGTGCTTCAGAGGAATGAACAGAAGAAGCAATCATCGAGTGATCTAATTCTTTTTTTTGAGCCCTATGACAGTGATACTTTCCAAAAGGCATCTGTCACTGAAGTGCCCTTTGCTGCAATGAACACTGAAAATCTCTTCCTATTAGGACTGGATGTATTAGGCTTGCCAGGCTAGTAAGTAGACACTAAAGTTGATTTGACCAGAACTAAAAATTAAAATTGCAAAATTAGTGTCAAGTTTACAAAGTGATTCGATTACATTTATCTGTGAACATCCTGCAATGACAAAATATATCCATGACATGACATCCAAACTAGTAATATATAGGTACTTGGTGACTTTGAAAAAGAAAAAAAAGGCAGTCTTACAAAATTGAAAACAATCACAAGCCAAATCAGCTGGGTGGAAGTAAACAGAAAAATGTGAATGATAATTGGGAACGATTTAAGATGCCCATTAAGTCACAATTGCACCATTTAACACTGGGGGAAGCAGATAGTCATGAATAAAAACAAACAGCTAAGAATTGTAGAAAATTGATTAAGGAAGCAAAAAATCTATGACCAGCAGAGTTAAGAACAATAAGGAGTTTTTAATTACAAACAAAGAACAAAAGGAACAAAAAGGAATCCAGACAATAGTATTGGTCCATTATTAGATGAAAATGGTAGTATGGTCAATAATAATGTAGGGAAAAAAAGGAATAGTGTCCAATAATAACTAAATAGAATAATAAACTACTTGTGCTAAACAATCTGTTCCACCTTGTATTTAGTTGTGACACTCAGAGTTAATTTCCCACACCTGAAGATGTTGCAACATCAGAGTGTCACAGTTAAATACAAGGTAGAACAGATTGTGTAGCATGAGTAGTTAACACATTTCAAGGGACCAGATCTGTGTAGCTCGAAAGCTTGTCTAGTAACAGAAGTTGATCCATTAAAAGATAATGTACCAGCTTGTCCCCCAGAATTGTTGGCATTTGACTAGAAGCAGCTGTAGGGGTTAGGTGGTTTTCTCTTCTCTCTGCCATGTGCTCAGTGACACAGGCTTTCTTGCTGCTTTATAACTTTCTCTCTCTCCTCCTTTATTTTTACTCTTTCTGTAACAGGCTAAGAGACTTGCTTTTCTCGGCTGTTCTCTCTCACTTTGTGTCTTGTTTATCTTCTCTAATATACATGCTCTATTCCTTATTTCAAAAGACATACAATTATTTTTCACACTTTTTTCAAAGTAACCTAAATGCATAAGCAATATTTTCTAAAAACTAATATGTAATACTTTTACTTAAAAAAAGGGATAAAACATTTTCTCTCTGAAAAGACCTCAGCATATGTAAGGGACTGATCTTTTTTGTAGTTTTAAAACCCTCTTTTCTGACATTTTTTCTTTATCACTTTGTCATAATCCACGTTATTTTGTAAATTATCTAAAAATGCCTATAAAAGTATTTTTCTTTAAAAGTGCGGAAAATACCTATGTTCATGTAAAACTCACACAAACAGCGCTAAAGTTCCCAATGGAAAAACAAATTCAAATGGCCAGCTGCACCAAAAGCAGACATATCCCAACAGGAGACTGGGGCAGAACATAAACCAAAACAGGGGCATGGAAACTGGGTCAGAGTTCTGTGGTGACAAATGCTATAGACCGCTTAACTATGTAGATCTGAATTATCCCAACACTGGGGCAGTATTTGATCTGGGTGTTTGTTTATTATACATTTAGGGGACAATATAGGGCCAGATCTGAATTTCATGTCTGTTCAGATGCAGGATTTGGGCCTTTCTCCAGACTGACATAATTCATTGCCTGCTCACGTCCTGCTCAGTTCTTGGTTGCCTGGTGACCGCTTTACACCAGCTATGCTAGTGCAGTATGACTGCCAGGAATACCCCAGCACAGAAGGCTTTCTTTGGCAGATGCTGAGCCATCTCTCTGCCCTTTCATATTTGCTCACCACTCATGGATGGAGTTGTGATGAATCTGTCAAGCAGGGAACTACCCATTCCCATCAACCACCTCCCCACCACACTTCATCTTCCACAGGCCAGGTAGGAGGAGAGGGCAGATTTCTATTGAAAGAATGGACCAAGGAAGTTATCTGACCCTTCTTTGGAAGCAGTGGTGGCATGGCCAGTAGCAGCAGCGAAGCATGAGGCAGAGGAAAATGTCCAGGAATTATGTACAGAGCAGGTTGCACAGAAACCAGGAAACCACATGTGGAACGGGGGGATGACTTGAAGCAGGAATTAATTCAGGGAAGTTCTATGGCCTGTGTTCTGCAGGAGGGCCAAGGCTAGATGATTACAGTGGTCCCTTCAGTAATCTACTCTTTCTACAGTCAATAGGAACTGTGTTGAGATGCCAATTGGAAGCAACTTTTACAGAATGAAACCATGTAGACTTCCTATCAAACATCTCTGGGGCACACAGCTGCAAGAAGTGCATTCACACTATTGGAATGGATAGATAAAGTACTACAGGTTCAGTGCTCAAAGAAAATGAGACTAGCACAGTGGATTATGATTACCCTGTCAGTTCCTGGTCTTGATACGATATGCCTACCCCGTAGTGTTCCATTTCAAGAAATGATCTTGATTGACTCATTTTCTTTCATTGCACTGTAGCAATGTTTTTATTTGGCCCCTCTCCAGAAATCTTCAGAAACAAAGTCAGCCTGTTCGCCCGGAGCATCCCCAGCACACACCACTCACCCTTCTCGGTCTTTCTCCTACACAAGACGACCGCAATGACAACAAACACCATAGCCACACAGAGCACAACGATCAGGATGATGAGATAGAGGGGCAGGCTGGTCCTCTGGTAACCTAAATCAAAACAGCACATGGTGAGGTTTCAAGTAAAGAAGCAAATGTGCTCTGCTGGGCTCCCCAACTTACTGAATCCTCCCAAACCACTGGAGTTATGGAGGCAGGAATTTTGCTCTTGATCACTTCATGCCGTACCACATGGAGCTAAGGAAATCCATGACTCCTCTAGGCATGTCCTTCCAAGTGTTAGAACAGCTGCAATCCCATGGAGCCTGTAACCAAGTAGCCCAACAGCACGAGGTCATGCTTCACTGGACAGCACAGGAAAGGGGTGTAGCAGCTAGAACCACATAGGGCAGCAGAGGTCATTTCCAGCAAGCTCTATCAACCTGAGGACTAACTTCTAAAATGGCAGCAAGTGGACGTGTCACATTCAGCCCACCCTTCTCCATCATTCACACAGAACCGCAATGAAAACACCACTTCCCTTCCCATCTCCAAATTGCTTCCAATTCAGCACTGAGCAGGCCTCACCTCCTTCCGAGACGATGGTGTGCGCCTTGGTCTCAGAGCAGGGTACCATGGTTGCTGGTTTTGTAAGGGCTAAGAGAGAAGTGACGAATGTGTCAGACTCTTCCATCCCTTCAATTGCGAATTTATAAATTGGATAAATGCAAAGTCTTCAGGGGGGGGAAGTTGTAAACCTCCCAAGTCTTTTAGAGCACTTCCCATCCGTAGATCTCAAAGGGCATTACAAAGGAAATGCCTGTTATTGCCGGGGTAAACTGAGGCACAGGAAGGGGACTTGCCTAAGATCAGCAAGCTGGCAAGTGGCAGAGCTGGAGGATTGAGAACATTTTTATGACCCTAGCCAGTGATCAGCTGTGTCCTAACTATGAAGGCTGAGAGTGAGAGCTAGGAAGTGTCACTACAGATGTTGTTTGCATTCAGTCTAAATGTCTAAACCTTTCTTAAACCCTCTAAGCCATTTGCCTCATTATCATCCAGTGTCTCAGAGACAATCAAGCACTAGTTTGGGGCACTTACCTCTCACAGTCAGCTGCACTGCATCACTCTGCTGTATGACTTGTGAGCGTGCTCTGTTTTCTGCTTCACAGTAATATTTCCCCATGTCAGACATTCGCAGAGAATCAAACATGAGTACAGCGTGACTGCTCACATGCACTGCGTTTCCTCCTGGCTCTCCCTTGAACCATCGGTAGGTGATGGGTGGGGATCCATTGGTAGAGCAGGTCAGGCTTGTCCTAGCCCCTTTTGGTACAGTGAATCCCAGAGGGCCTGGTCTGACGATGGGTTTAGTCACTGCAACTGAAAGAAGAAGGAAAGGGATCTGGGTCTGAATGGTCCCTTTCAGGGTATTTGATCTGGGATTTTGGATATTATAGAAATGTGCATTCCATGGCTGTTCACCCTTCTCCAGAAGGGATTAATTCATTACCTGCTCATATAACCCCCTTCTATACAGAGTTCTGAGCTCCATTCATGGTTTCCTTGTGACTGCTTTGCACCAGCTATGCTAGCACAACGTTGCCACTGCAGGGAATACCCCCACACTTCAGTCTTTCACTGTCAGAGGCAGTGGGAATACCCACACACTGTCTTTCTGCCCCTCCATAAGCCTTCCACACCAATGCACAGAGAGTTCTGGGTGTGTTGGGGATGTTCTGGAGTGTGTAGCTGGGGCAATCCTGTACCCCAACTCTTCTATAACTGCTGCAAGCCCCATAGAGATGTTCAGCAGTGAGGCACCTTAAGGCAGTTGGGAAGGCTAATCTTAATTAGCACTAATGGCCAAACTAGGTACAAGCCACATCTCCAAATCAATGTTGCAGGCATGAATCCCATCCTTTGGCTCATTTCCCCCTCATTAGAGTGGGGCTAGTGCCAGTGCAGTGAAGACGACGCATGGCGCTCAAGAATCCATGGGAAATACTAGCCCCAACCCTGCAGATGTGGGGAGTCAGTGTGGAGTGGAAGTCCCTCTGCATAACCCCATCCCCACCAGATCTAAAGCCAGCTCAGTCAAGTGCTTTATGAGTGAGAAATGCCAAGTAAATGCAAATTTTATTATTGGATTTACCTTTAACAACATTAACTGTAGTGGTTCTCTCCCTTGTTAGCAGGCTCTTGTTCTGGGTTCTCCAGGTGACTTTGCAAGTGTAGTGTCCACGGTCTGTGACTTCAAGCTTCTCAATTTCAAGAGAGACATCCCCTGGTGTGCTATTTGGCATGCTGACCCTACCTCTGTATTGTGACAACAGGATGTGATTGCCAGAGCTATCCCTTCGAAAGACGGTAGCAGGGCTTTGATCTCGGTCCAAGGTCCAAATGACTGTTTGCTGCACAAAGTCCTGGGAAGGCCTGTAGACACATGGCAAGGTGACGGAACTCTTCCATATCCCTTCAATGTTGTGGGTGCCAGTCAGTTCCAGGATGGCTGTAGAGGGAGAGCAGGAGATGAGGGGTAGAAATAAAAGAACAGAGGAGAGAATGTCAGTAAGACCAAACAGTGCTAGAGGCACATCCAGGTGGAGTCCACTAAGCTGCAAGCACAGACAGTTATTCTTGACAAACACTACTGCTTGGTTTCCCTAGTCACACCTAGTGGATAGGGCACTGGCTTAGGATGTGGGAGACCTGGCTTCAGTTCCCTACTCCACCGTGGAATTCATGTGTGACCTTGGGCAAGCCACTTATTATTTCTGTGACTCAGTTCCCCTCTGTAAGATGCAGATAACACCACTGTCTCATAGGGTGTGGTGAGGATACATACACGAAAAGATTGTGAAGAGCTTTGAGCTCTACTCATGAAAAGGAATTATGGTTATTGCCTCTCAGATCCTGTC